CTCAAGGTATTGATTGTTAATTGATCGTTCGACATTGTTTTATTACAAAATAGGATATATTCAAAAGGTTAACCACACGAAAAAAATATTGACAAAAATCGCCTTTGTTTTATTTTATTTATTGTAATAAAACTTGAAAAGAATCAAATCTATCTATTGTTACTATACTATTTTCTACATTATAAATTTTTTGTTTGCCTAAACTATCTGCATCAATATTATCTATAATCCGGCTTCATCGTTATCGATTCTGATTAAAACAAAATGGTCATCAGTTATATATTTATACAAAATGAGCAGTGCCAAAAATGAATTAACAATCCACATTATCCTGTTAAACTAATTTACCTTTTTGGGTCTAAGAGACAACTCGCTGAAAGTTTATGTTTCCTACTTATGCATTATGCGATGCTAGATCTGTACGAAAGGAATGTCATTAGTTTAAAAGTCGATTCATTGTCACAACCAGAATATTCATACCTTACCAAAATAAAATTAATTTCTGATTTTGGATATGATAGAATTCAATTCATAGTCTCACTTGAAAGAAATTTTCAACGGGATAAAAATCAGAATAAACTCTTATACGAAGTAGAAGAAATACTATGAGAAACAAAGCAGTAGAGATATTATATCAAATTATATTTACATGTACTTATGTTGAAGTGTAAGCTGGCACTATCATCGGCGACGTTTATCTTTTCAAGTGGTTCTATCAATATATAAAACTTCGAAGAAAGAGATAAGTGAGCATTTCATTTTTTCACATGCTTGCAAAGTATACGAGATTACATTACCTATGATATGGGGATTGAACGTCCCGTTTTACTCTTAAAGTTAATTTGTAACAATTAGAAATCCAATATATATTGTGTTTTTAAATTGTAATAAATAAATAATCATACCACGACATGCTCCACTGATATAAAAAATGTTACAGAAGTATATGACAGTGCGCTCAGCTGGATGCTGAAGACATAACTGAAGTGCCGTTGTGCGGTGGTAGAACAGCGGACCATTCGAAGAAGTGTGCCTACTGATCGTACCATCTTTTTCAACAATACATTACGTCGCCACACAACTGTCCACTGATAGACACTTAAGTCTACCCTTGAACACCGATTATGAACATCGAAACACAACAGAAATATCCACACAGACTAAACAGGTCGTTACGTGGTGGCATTGGGCGGACCATTCGAAGAAGTGTGCCTACTGGCCAAAACCATCTTTGTCAACGAAGCACTAGAGTGCAAGCGTCGCCACGCAACCATTCACTGATGTTCACTGAAGATCACCCTTGATACGCCAGTCTTCTTCAGACTGAAACACTGATAGCCTGTGAACGCGATTCTAGAAATCCACGAAATCGAAATCTTTATTGTATAAAAAATCCATGTGATCAAAATAATGCAATTTGATTTGCAGAAATGGTATATTGTACTTATTTTATTTGAAAAAAACGCGACTGAATCACAAAGATCAACAAACAATGCTAACTTGGGTACGCAATAACCTCAATAACCTCAAGCCGGAGAAATTTTACGAGAAGTTTAACTATTCGCACACCTCACGGAAACATGCTTAAGAGAAGTTGCGAGATTGCCTTACGGCGATCAAGAAAGAGAATAATATTAACAGGCGCAAGAAAGCAATGGCCTTGTTAGATGACTTTGAGGTATATGGATATTCCATTACTTCTTATTAACAAATATAATAACTTGTTTAATTTTACTTACATTTTTTTCAGCCTTGGATAAAATCAACCAGTTGCGAGTCGTACTGGTTACAAGTAGAAACCTCACTCAGCATGGTATGTTTAAACTTTTTGTTATTTTTAAGAAGTAATCATAAGTCTTTAGCTTATTGCTTGGTTATTTGACTTTAACAGTCAGCACATGAAGTGACAGGACGAAAAGCGGCATATAGAACCATCAAAAATTTTACACAGAAGGTTAATGACGAGGAAGAAGTTATGGATGAATTTCAACCACCGCTAACAAGAGCTAGAAAGAGAGCTAGGAAGGAACTCAAACCAGAGAATCAGGCAATTGTATTTTCTATTTACGTCTTATTTTTTTTTTAAGTTTTAAATCTTCCAATTCCAATATTATTTTTGAAATTTACAAAGGACAAAGATGAAGATGAGCCTATATCCAAACAAAATGCCCGCGATGTGCTTAAGGACGATGAGATACAATCAACTCACATAAATGATTATTCTAGTTCCCGTGAACCAACGGATGAAGAGATTCCTCAAGAAAACGAAGAGGAAGCAGAAACTGAAAAGGAGTTGGATATCAATTATATTGAAAATCCCCTCTCAGAAAATGAGGAGAGAGAAACTATTCTGAATGATATTGTAAGTAATTATCTGATAATACACCCTAAGCCAATAGATTTTTAACTGTTGATTATTTTGTACCAGATAACGGATATTCTAGGAAAATCTGTTGAATACTCAAATACAACAAAAAATATTTTTTCGATTTATAAAGAGCAAAGCCCTGATGGTGATCTAATTGACCTCCGGCTGAATTCGCCCTTTTTTAAAAAACTCCCAAGACAAATAGCAACATCATATATGACAGAAATGGATAATATTACAGAGTCATTAGTTCCCAAAAATGTTCATGAATTCCTTGTAAAATTTTTTTCACAAAATTTGTCAGCAAAGGAGTGGAATTACCGAATTGACGATTTGAGAGCACCAGAAAAAGATGATTTTATATTGAACACAGTAGTTCGAGTTCTGCGACATACATTGCCACAATTGTATGTAGCACTGTTATATTGATTTATTTTCTTTCAGATTTTTTTCTAAATACTTCTTTCTTGTAGTATTAAGGCGTTTTCACTTGAAGAGCAAAACCCACTCTTTAATGTTACTACCTTAGAACATGCACATCTTAATGCATTCGTCCATCCATGTATTGACACTTTTTTGTGGTACATCGCAGACATACATTATGAATATGGTGAGATCTCGTCGAAAAATCATATTAATCGCAACCGAGCGGACGGAGTCGGGTTTATGACGGATGCTGATAAACATCAGCTTATATATTTGGAAGGCTCCAGACCAATGGCGAAGGATAAGAAGGAGATTGATGACGTTAAAGAAAAAAAAAAAATTTAAAGAATATATTTTCGAAAATTGTGAAAGAAAGAGTCAAAAGTAGACAACGATTACCGAAAAAGCTGTATATTTTCGGTGGTCAGAGTTTTCGCCTCCGGATACATTTATATTTTCTCGACTATTGCGGTATGTATTATTCTTTCCATCGAAATATTTTCACTGTAAGAAGGTACTAATTATCTGTTACTAAATATTTAATTCAGGAACATATAGACTAAATGAGGTCGATAATGCTAATCTTCCTCGGAAATTTTCTGAAATGAAATCTTTTGTTTATTTCTATGAATCTATATTAAAATGGGCGGTATGTGCTAATGTGAATTTTATTATGAAATTTACGAAATTAAACTTCTATATAATCCTTATTTATAATTTTAGTTACTGGTACGTGATGTTACAGCATCTTTTGATAATGCAAGAACTGAGCAAAGACCATCACGACTTTCATTTGCGGATGCTCTTCTTCGACTGGGCGACTGATCTTTTGGGTGTAAAATAGATGGCATCTTGAAAATATGAATTGTAAATATAATAAAATCACGTGTGCGTTACAATTTGTAACGCCGATCACTTTTACCAAGAAAATTCTTGATCATATATACATGTCATCAATAGAATAAATTCCCGAAATGCATATGCAAAAAATAAACGCGATTGTTTATGGTAAATCAGTCACCAGGGCCAGCTTTAATGATACATCAGCGAAGTAGGCACAGTCAAAAATAAAAATAAATTCGGAAAAAATACACTTTATTGTTACAATCGGCACACGAATAAAATACATAAACGGAATTGACCATCTATTTGTTATTTTTTCTGGATACGACGTTTTTTAATTTCATGTTCGTCGCACATTGTAATCCTATCCCTTAATAACCCCACGACCCCATTATCATATGCCACGAAATTTTATTTGAATCTGATCGTTCCCCAAGGGAACGGTTTTTGCCAAGAAAAAAAAAAATAAAAATAAATTCAGAAAAATTCAGAAAAATATATATTCGCTTTATTGTTACAATGAAATATAAGGTACATAAATACCCGTTACATGATATAATAATAAAAATACAGATACAAAAATATTCCGGAAAAATTAATATATACATTACACGAAAAATAACACATGATGCATTGTACGTTCCTCTAACCGAAAATCTTTATTAATAAATATATGATGATAAAAATACAGGAAAAATTATATGATATATGTTACCGTGGGACTTTGGGTAGCATTTCTTGGTGGACGTGTATTGGCTTGCTCTAGAGCTTGTATCAATAAGTTTTGGTTTACAATCATAATATTTCTAAGAGTTAAAAGTAAACAAATAAGGGGTTCTACATGCCATGGAGTATTTTTTGTAAAAGGTATTTCCACCTGATCTACATGAAAATATCTCGGTATCCCACTTGCATCTTTTACTAAAATATTTAAATATAGATCTTCACCAGCTACTTGAATTCCAACAATGCCAAATTGATTGTTCATTGGCCTACATGCAACACCTACAAAACTTATACCATCCAAAGTCTCTCTCCATAATTTCACCGAATCATCCTCTCTTTTTGATCTAGTACAAAGAATTCGTGATGATTCAACATAAGCAAGTTCAAAAATCTTACCTCCATATTTTGTCATAACCATAACATCAGGCTTTTTTCCTATTGGGGTCTTGTATATTGATCTTTCTTCATTTAATCCTGAACTTTTACAAGCCTTGCTTGCCATACTTTGACGTTTGGCAGTGCTTAGAAAAATTCCACCATTAGGAAGCTCCTCCAGACTAGCTTGAAGTAAAGGTACAATGATATCTGTGACATAAGTCCCTTCACTTTAAGTGCCTCGTATTTCGCTAGTTGTGAATGCCGGATTATTCCATATCCCCTCTCTATAAAATTTGCTATAAATTAACATAGCTTTGAAACAGATATTTGGATATTCACATTTCATGAAATACAACTACGTACAGAACATATAATATACGATTTGTTCGTTCTATTAATTTTGATCTTTTCTCTTTCCACTCTTTGTTATGTACAATATTTCTAAGCGCATTCAGAATATTAACTCTATTGAAATTATTCAAAAATTCAACACATCTTGAAGTAATGAAGGTAGAGAGGACGCATTTTATACTCTCACGTAGTTCTAAAAAAACTTACATTTGTCTCTGTCCCAGATTTTTTACTAATACAGAATTGTCAGCAATTATCATATTAGCTTCGGGGTCATGCCAAGTAAGTTCAGAATGATTGATGGAATTTAAATTTATTTTAAGGGCATTATAGAGAGATGTATCAGTATCAGCTATTGGTACTTCAAGTTTCGATTGTAATGCTCTTAAATTTCGATCAATTTCTTCTCTCGAATGGTCAGGAGTATACATGTTTCCAAAATTGATTTTGAATTTTTGAGGTATTTCGACTTTTTGAGATTTATACAAAATCTATTCTATA